CAATTTAATTTTTTTGTGATAATGTTCAGCACCTTCAGGCTCTCTTACTAAAAACAAAAACAAAAACTTGGTATATACCAACACAAGGCCTCAGAGTGATCTTATGATCTTGAACTCTTTCAACTTGGTCAAAACCCTATTTTCTAATATATTTTTCACCTTTTCCCCTGTGCCCAACTTCATGGTGAAGTCACCAAATACATGTTTCATGGTTCAAAGGAAAGAGCTGTTAGATTTATAGTCAGAAGATCTGGGTTCAAAATTTTGGCTCTGCCACTTACTTTCCTGTGTGATCTTGGCCAAGTTTCCCCGAGAGGGAAAGTTGTCTCTCTGTGACTCAGTTTTCTCAACTGTAGAATTAGGAGGTTGGACTAGAGGACCTCTAAGGTTTCTCCCAGATTTATGTTCAATCCTATGTTGACTTGGTTTGGAAGATCAATCCAAGATCTTTGCAGAATTTTTCTACTTCATGCCTTTGGCAGGCATTGGCACATAGGCTGCAATCATCTTTATATTTGTTCTAACACTAAAGTCATCAGATTCTGCATCCAAACAAAACAAGGCTAGTCTGTCCTCACTGCATCCTTCAACTCTCTCTTTCCCAATGAGCCATCTGAGAGAGAGATTGAGAGAGAGAGAGACATCAAGAAAGGAAAGAAGGAAGGGAGGAAAAGCAATTTAACAAAACTAGACAACACATAAAATGAGTCTGACAGTATATGAATGTTCCACACCCATAATGCCCCCACTTCTCCAGTGAAGGTTTTCTTATCTCTTCTGGTGTAAAATTGATCATTATAATTAAATTTTTCCATTTCATTTACAATTTTACTTTTAAATAAGTGTTTTATTCATGTGTGTGTATGTGTGTGTGTGTGTGTGTGTATGTAAACTTCCATTTTCTAATGACTTCTTTCTCCAACCCCATCCCCTATTCTTAACAGAACCCTATCTCAAAAAAAGGAAGTGCAGTCAAGGAAATCTAATCAACATGTCCACCACGCCTGACAATGTGTGCCTCATTCTGCATCCATAGTCCCCCTCACTCAACATGAAGTAGGGAGGCATGCTTCAATAGCAGGTCACTGAAGTCAGCTGCTGCAGTGACTAGTAGTGGATGTCCAATGTCTTTCAGAGTTGTCTTTCTCAGCATTTTTGTGAGCATCCACAGCAGCCCTTGAAGACTAGCTACTAAGTTAAGGAGAACTTTGGGCATGCATCTGTGGAGAGAGAATCCACACTAATGAAATTACAGATTCTCGAAGGTCTGGTGTATTCAAGAAGTTATGGGTTTCTAGGAGAGCCAATGGGCTACTGGGGAGCCATGAAAAACGAATTTCCCCTCAAATGTTTGCTTTTTTAAACTCCCCTCTCCCCTCCAACCTCACCTGCAACCAGGCAAACTCCAGAATGTGCAGCTCCCACAAGAGCCCATCAATGCTTCTTTAGGATTCAGAGCATCCCTCAGTCTGAGAACTGAATGATCTTTGCCACAATATAGAACAAGGGTGAGGGAAGAAGGGAAGAGATAATTAAATTTCTAACCTTGAGGAACAGTTGCTGGTCCCACAGAGGCTGGGGCACTGTATAACTCCTGGCTCAAGGAAGGGGTCCCTCTGCTCTGGACCCAGGGATGTGGTTGGGAAAAACTGCTAAAAGAACAAAAAAAAACTGCTAACCAACTCAATTCAGATTTTTTTTAATAAAAGTTAAGGCTGTAAGAGTTGAATATGGGTTCAATCCTCTAGTGAGAGGCATTGGAATCCCTTTTCTAGTTCTTTTTGGCTCATTAAACTCCCACCCCAGGGCCCAGAGAAAAATTTCCTTGTAGCTTAGGTTTGGTCATATCTAGGGTTCCTCCAAAAGGGGAGTTAGAAAGGTACTCAATATGAATCAGGTAGGTTTGGGAAAAATGTTTATTTCTTCCATACAATAATAAAAATAATAATAGCTGGCATGTATGCATAAAGCACTTCAAGGTTTATGAAGTTACCTCATTTGATCTTTACAACAACCCTGTAAGGCAGGTACTAGTATTATTCCCCATTTAACAGATGAGGAAACTGAGGCCCACAGAGGGTTAAGTGACTTGCCCAGGGTCACATAACCAGTAAGTGTCTGAGGCGGGACTTCTGACTCCAAGTCCAACATTCTATCCATTGAACCACCCGACTCATTAGATCATTTACATTTCACTTGGTTTATGCACTGTCCAATCAACTCCTGGTGTTGGGGGATGGTTACAAGAGACATTATAAAGGCACAATTTGAAACACTGTGGTATAGTTGGGGATGACGGTGAAACAGTAAAGCAAGCACTGATTTTATATGTAACTGTAAGAGAGAGGGAGAAGAACTGGACCTGTGATTTCATTGGCATAAACAGTTCCCAGGTGAGGAACCTCCCTCTATCAATGCAGGTGCGTACCTCCTCTACAACTTAGAAGCTTAGAGAGTTTCCTAGAGCAGTAACAAGTTAAGTGATTTGCCCAAGGTCACACAGCGAGTATCTGGTAAAGGCAGGAATGAGATCCAAGGTCTTCAAGGACTCAAGGTAAGCTCTCAATATATCATGCCACTTTTCCTTTCAAGAGAGAGGCTAGTTCAAAGTCATCATTCAGTCCAGACGGCAGATGCAGAGCTTTAGTAGAAGGGTTGATCCAGGTCAGCACCCTCTTAGCTCAAGTTCAATAGGGGTACAAAATGAGGCACTCATAACTCATTGAACAGTTAACAAAAGGAGGTTTACTTAGCCCTGGCATAAAAATGATGTTCAATAGGGATACAGTAGCACCTTGTTTACGGATATACTACATAGGGAATCACAGCTGGTCAGCAGGGCTAGATGTGGTGACTTGTGGTCTTAGGACACCTACCAAGTCTAAAGACCCTATGTGGGGGGGTCTTTTCATGCCCCTAGGTAACCGCGAAGCCTTGTCTCTATAGCCAGAGACTACTAGGAAATTATTTCAGTCAAAGGAGACATGGTTTTACTCAAGAGACAATCCTGTCCAGGCTTTGTTGCCTCTTAGGGAAAAATTAGCCTGACCCAGATAGGGGAAGGGAGGGAAGCCTGCTAGAGTTTGGTGCTATCACAAGAGTCACAAACAGCCAGAGGCTCTTGCAAGTAACCTCTGGCCACCCACCAAAAGAAAGTCACATGTGTAGAATATGGAATGGATTCTTAGTCATGCAATGACATTTTGACATTTTCAGCAATCATTTTCACCCACAAATGGCAAAACTTTTAAATGCTATTTCTGAATAGAGACCCATAAATATGCCATAGATTAGAGCTGAGAGGGACTTTTGAGGTCATCTAGTTCAATCCACTGATTTTATAGATGTTTCAAAGCTAGAAACTTCCATTCTATGCTCACCCTAATGCCTTCTCTGCCTATGCTATCAGAAGTTGGAAACCAATTAGATTCACATGCGTAAAATTCCTAGTTCTTGTTCATTGCTATGTGCCCTATTGGATGTGATTAGAACCAATATATTTGAACCAAGCAAGGAGTGAGGAAGTAAGAACCCGATTTAACCTGGGTGTTAAGGCCTCTGGCACAGTGGGTCTCAAAGGGTGTCCTGGAGCATCTTGCTAAGTGTCCTGTGAATTATATGGAACTCACCTTCGCAGTCTCATGTGCATGTGTGAGATTTCTGACTCCTAGAGTATGCAGATTCCTTATGCTGGTAAAGCATAACATTATGCCAAACAAAAACAGCTTGAGAACTGCCACTCTAGCAAGTCACTGATCCCCTTCCATTTGTCCATGATATTTAAGCTTGGCTTCCAGTAAAGTTCTACTTTGATGCCTGGTTGTCATGCAGAGATGGCCCTAAAAAGAACTGAAACTGAGGGGATGCCCATCCATTGGGGAATGGCTGAACAAGTTTATGACATATGAATGTGATGGAATACTATTGTACTGTAAGAAATGATGAAGAGGATGATTTCAGAGAAACCTGGGAAGACTTGTATGAACTGAGGCAGAGTGAAGTCAGTAGAACCAGGAGAACAATTTATCCGCTAACAACAATATTGTAGAGATAGTTAACTTTGAAAGACTTGGGAACTCTGATCAATACAATGGCCAACCAGGATTCCAAAGGAATTGATGAAACAAGTTGTCCATCTCCTGATAGAGAGGTGATGGACTAGTGGAGATCAAAACATGTCTGTGTGTGTGTGTGTGTATACACACACATACATACATATATACATGCACACATACATATACACATATGTGGACATCATCAATGCAGGAATTTCTTTTGCTTAACTATATATGTTTATAACATGGGTTTTATTTTTCTTGCTTTCTCAATAGAGGAGAAGTGAAGAGAAGGCAGCTCTTTGTTTGAAAAATAATTTTTAATCTATACCAACAAAATGTGTGCTCTGGAAGGACCTCTTCAGTGAGGATTGTTTTAAGTCTGGGCCCAGTAAGAACCAGGCTTTATATCTGTTAAGCATGGTCCAGCCAAGCTAAATTTGGAGAGGCCTGTCAGCACTGACTTGACTGATGATAGATGAATTTTTTTCTGCCAAAGGAATCCATGAAGACTTTGTATTAAGATTTGGGGTAGTGGCACTTGGTAAGGCAAAGGGAGTATCCCTGCCCCTGAAATCACAGATCTTGAAAGTATTAAAGTTTTTAGGAAGTTTTAAGAGCTGTAAGGACTGTGACAGTGGAACATTTCCTGTGGAATGCACAAATGAGACATGCCCTGAATGAGTTATTTCATTGTCTCACAAAGGTCAATGTGGGGGATTTTTTGCTGAGAGAGAGTTTCTGATAATTGGTATGAATGTCACACTTAAGGAAAGAAGGACGTTAAAATTCATATATTTAGCTTGGATGCATCAATCAATTCCCAATAAATACTGGGCCCCACCCCTTCCCCATATAGTGCTTTCCGACAGAAAAAGAATTAAACAAAACTTATTGGCAACACGTGTAACTTTCCATTTTTGTCAAAAAGGAATTTTTATCAGCCATTATGTCTTCTCTAATGGTAAAATCAGAAGAAAAGCATTAATTCAAAATCTTGCAGTCACTTAGCACCTTAATATTCCAAGAGAATGCTTCAGGAAATACAACTTATTTATTTTTTCTCTCTATTTATTTACTTATTTATTTTTTTAAATGTTCTATTAATGCCTCTTTTTTTTTTTGAAACATCACGATCATTTCTGGATCTGATACCTGTACTCATATTCCTAGCCCCAGAATCAAACCTATTCTAGAAACAGAAACAAAAGCAAAACAATAGCAAAGCAAAAATAACTGATACAGTAGCCTCATATGATAATGTGTGTGAATAACGATCATCCTCCATAGTCCATCACTTTTCTGACCAACCGACAGTGAGGTGTACTTCATTATTTGTTCTCCCAGACCAAGATTAGTTATTAAAATTACCCAGAGTCTGACTTCCTTTTAGCAATCTTTTCATTTATATTATTATAGTCATGGTGCACTTCGTTCTTCTGGTTTTATATACCAGATGAACAGCCTGTTCAGTCATTTCCCAACTGATGGGCACCCACTTTGTTTCTAGTTCTTTGCTATCACACAGAGAACAATGCAACTCAATTTTCTTACAGCCATGGGTTCACTGCAGAGTCTGCTTGTCCTCTTTCTCATATCCTTTGGTCTAAGAGTGTCTCTTAGGAGGGTGCATTTCCTTTTATCATCCCCATGATTTCTTCTTTAATTTTTAGAGATAGGGAATTAAAATGAAAGAGATTTCTTTTTATCTCTGTCTCATTCTCCCAGAGCATCATATGCTTTGAACAGGCCAAGTTAAAGACTGCTTGGAACTTGTCTCTGTTGAGAGAGAAAAAAGAAGTGTCAACTCTCTCCACAATCATTTTAAAACAACTTATATGTTACTATTCATTACTAGAACTCTGAGTACAATAAGACCCAGTTGCTTTGAGTCCAGTTCAGGAAGATCACCAATTACTATTTAATCTTAATCACCTAAATGACTTAAAAAAAAAACTAACAAAAAAGCCTTACTCCAAAACCCATCTTTTTTTTTTTTGATTCATAGAAGTAAAAAAAGAAATGGCCAAGTATGGAAGAAATCCAAAATCCTAGGCACTAATGGCAACAACTGGAAGCTACAAATGAGGAGGCCAGTCCTAGAAAAGAAAGAGATCCTCTATTACTACCGATTTCTCAAAGGAAAAAAAGATTTTCTGGAAGAACACTATCAAATCTTTCTTAGGGCTTAATCAGCAGAGTAGCTTGATTCATTGGCATTCATCATTTATGAAACTGGTTTTGTTTCTTCAGAAGTTTCCAGAAAGTAGAAAGTCTTCAGAACTCTAGGTTAAAAAAAAGGGATAGAAGCCTGCTCTGGAAATTGGAAGACATTCCCTTTCTTCTCAGTTTTACCTATGAGGGAAAAATTTAAAATAGAGAAAATATTTTCTTTTATAAAATTGTTGCTACTAACTAGTCAACAGAACAAATTATTTTTCTAATGTAAAGACCCACTAGTCCAGGTTGCTAAGGTGCCCTCTCCCACTGAGGGATCCAGCCATGGACTCAATGTGCAAAGTAGATCAGGTATGGGACAGCTATTTATTTTTGCCAATACAAAAGAAATCCTTAAAACATAATGTGACATTTATAAGCACAATGACAAAAGGCTTAAAACATTCAATAGTAACCTGTTACTTCTAGTATGCTCTTCCAGGAGTTTGATACCTAAAACATTAAAACTAGAAAGTTTTGGGGACTGTTGAACACCTTTTCATGTTTGAAACTTGTTCTACTAGAATCTATTAATTTCCTACTTTATGGTAGGTGTGGGGTGCATCATGTCAAAAACTAAAACAGTCTCTCCCCTCAAAGAGTTTACATTCTACAGGGCATGATACAATAGGACCATATTGTTGTTCAGTTGTGTCTGACTTTTTGTGACCCCATTTGGGGTTTTCTTGGCAAGACACTGGAGTGGTTTGCTATTTCTTTCTCCAGGTCATTTTACAGATGAGGAAACTGAGGCAAACAAGGTTAAGTAACTTGTCCAGGGACATACAGCTAGAAGTGTCTGAGGCCAGATTTGAACATAGGAAGATGAGTCTTCCTGACTTCAGGCCCAGGACTCCATCCACTGAGCCACCAAGCTGCTTGTAGACAAGTTCAAAACATGTACAAAGGAAATGAAAAGTAATTTGCAAGGAGTCAAAGAGCACAAACAAATAATTGCAGAGGGGATGAGGCTAGGTCTCTTACAGTGAGTGATATCTGCCCTTGAAAGCTATGGATTCCAAAAGATGGAGATGAGGAGAGTGTATTTCAGGCCTGAAGTATAGCTAATGCAAAGACATATCAGGAAGTGGATTGCTCTGTATACAGAACAAGAAATATGGCAGTTTGGCTAAAGCACAGAGTTCATGAGGGAGAATAATGGAAAAATAGTCTGGAAAGAAAGTTTGGAGCCAGATTGTGGAGGGTTTTAAAAGCCAAAACTCTGGGGTCACAGATGGATTTAAGGAAGTTGCCTTCGACTTTGGCAACAAGAGACACAAATGGTTCTAATACAAGGAGGGAGCTAATTTCGTTGACCTCCTTAATACTTTGCTCTGACATCGAAACTGAACAGCCCCAAACTCTGAACAAGCCCAGTCTCTAACCTTCATTTTTAAAAAATGTATGAAGTGGAGATAATAATTCTTATCCTTTCTCTGCTCCATAGAGGGGAGAGTAAGAAGAAATGTGATAGCATGAAGAAAAATGGCCATATTAAGAAACGCTTTTCTTAAAAGGGAAGGAAAACAAATTATGTACTTAATAAAGGGGGAAAAAAGATGGATTATGTTCATGACTCACATTTATAGGGTGCTTTAAGCTTTACAAATAACATATACCTTTAGTAGAAAAAAGAATTCTAGGAAATGAGAAAATATAGAGGAAGAGAGAGAAGAGGGAGACAATGATGATGGCACATGTGACTAGGTTGGTTTTTTAAATATATACATAGATACATACAAAAATACATATAAATGTATATGTCTATATATGTGAAGATATATGTGTGTATGTTATATATGTATGTATTAGCTTTCACAAAGGGCTGTTTATATCAAATACACAAAAAGAAATAGCCTGCCACAGAAGGAGAGAATCACCTGCCAGGGAAGGAGGGATCATCCTGGCCCCCAACATTCTTGGAACAATCATTTCATTGTACTCTCTTAGTTGCCTTACCTGAGCCTGCCTCCAAAAGAGTGTCCCACTTCCCCATACACCTCCCTCACTGCCTTCTTTCCAGCTTTCCAGCTGAGGCCAAACCCTCTTAGGGAAGATTATGACTACCTTTAATGATTAATAAACTCCCACTCTATTATACCCTCCCCATCCCAGTGGTTCTGAATCTCCAGCTTGTCACTATTCAAATCTATTCTCTGTCCCCTATTGACCATCCCCTTAATCCCATTCACCCCCTTCAACCCAGTTCCCTCTAAGGTCCCACTTTAAAGCTTCCCATGCTTTCCACTGTTTTCTTTGGAATACCTTCTCCATAGGTAACTAACTTGCTTTTATCTTAAAACCTTTTCCTTTCTCACTCCATCTTCTTGCACTTGTTGAGACCTGCCCCCCCCTCCGATGGCCGGCCTTTCCCAGCACTGGTTGTACTTTCACTCATAAATACTGTCCCCTCACTCTCCTTGCCGGCCACTCCCACCAACTCACTGGTTGAGTTGTGAGAGATGGAATACTCCTTGCTCCCCATTGCCACTTTCAGTCTCTCCCTCTACCACCATTTCCTCCTTTGAGGTTCGCTCAATCCATATTTGCCACCCAAAGGAGATTCTGATAACTGTTTTCTACCAAGTTCTAGGCCACTCTGCTTTCTTCAATGGGTTCAGTGTCTGGCTCACAGTCTTTCTCTCCTTCCCAACTCTTGCTCTCACACTAGGGGACTTCAACACATACATTGATACTCCCCAATTACCCAGTTCCTCAACGTTATTTATTTCCCATGATGTACTCCTGCAGCACACCTCAGCTACAGACATAGCTATACCCTTGATTTTGCCATTGTCCACAAGTCATGTACTTCCATGTTCACGAACTGTGAAATTCCCTCAGTTGATCACAATCGGTCATCTTTTCACCTCTTCTTCTGCCTTGCAACCTTTAATCCTGTTCTTCATCCTCACTGCATCCCCAATCCCTCCAATTCTTTCAGTGGCTATCCTCTCTTCCTTTCCTTATCTTGACCTTTTTATGAACTAGTTCAACTTTACATCATCCTCTTCTTTCAAGTCCCTTGACCCTTTATATTCTCACTAATCTTGTCTTGTTAAACCTTAGCCTTCAATTACTCCCACCATCTCTCATTTTCATTCCTTGTCACATGCTTGCATGAATGAAGCCAGAGAAAATCATGAAACCATGCAAATTTGTCTCTCATCATCTCAACTGATTGCTCATCTTGGCCAGACCTTTTTACATTCTCCTACTCAATCCACTATTGCACTCACCCCACAGTTTTTCCAAACCTCTTTTTCCCTCCTCAAATCTCTCTCCATTAAATTGTGAGTTCCAAAGTGGGCAGGAACTGACTTTTACTTTTCTTTGTATCCCCAAGCACTTAGCATAGTGCCCGGCACACAGTGAAGGGCTTAATAAACGCTTGTTGACTTGACTTTATTAACAAGCTCAGAAGTTGCAAACATTTCACCTTTAGACTTGGAGATATACTCACTGCTATATTACCTTCATCCCTGGGGAGGGAGTGGGCTCAGATTTAAAGTAATTTCTACAAAGAATTCACCAGGAGCCTTTGGCTTCTGCCAAATCCAGGGGTGGGCTCTATACCTCAAACTTCTTGCTCTTCTGACCTTTAAGAGCTCACAAAGTAGTAGCCATTGCTAATCTCATTTACCTAAAATAGGAAAATAAATGCAAAGAGGCAAAGAACAGAGGACTGTATCCATGGGCCATATGCTAAGGCTTCCCTTCATTGGGATGCTTATAGCATAGCTCTTTCTCTTCAAGTGCCACTGGGGAAGAAAAGCACCATAACCATTTTGCAAAAATGGACAATCTTACAAAAAATATGACTTAAAAGGACCAAGGGGAAAGTAATTTTCACCGTGTTCTCTGCCATGTTAAAGTCTCACCTTGTAGAGGAATGTCTCATTGAAGATTTATAACTTAACAGAAGAGGACAACTCCAGAACGCAAGAAAAAGAATGACTAAAGAAAATGATGAAATTGTTGGAGAGCAAGTCATAGATATGCTGGTTAAAAGAACCAATGTAGCTTTCAGAGACTGTGGCGGGGAGCCTGGCTGGAGCTGTGGCCAGGTGCTGACCTAACAGGACCTGGTCTTACATTATGTTCTCAATCCTTTCGAACTCCTCAGAAGAAAGGCATTCCACAAGTCGAAGAAGGGGTCAGAAATGGGCAGGACAGAGCTTCATAGCCACATTGACTGGATGTAAGGAGCGAAGAAAACACATGACTCAAAGGTGGCTCCAAGCTTTTGAGCTAGGGTGCTGCCCTACAAGTTTGTTTTTACATTATTATTATTATTATTATTATTAATTATTATTGTTGTTGTTGTTGTTTTAACAATATGTGTTAATAAATTCAATAATAATGTAGGAAGTTTTCATCTTGGTAAAAAAAAAATAAGGCCTAAGGATTTTCAGACATTGGATTGCCATTTTTCCCTTGAACATGGTTAGATAGTATACATTTTGGTGAATCTCATCAATTTGTCTACTCTCTCCTCTGATGCAGATTTGAATGTTTGTGTGACTTTTCAGTGTATCTAATTCTTTCATGTTTTCCCATAA